CAAGAAACGATATCTTAGTACACTTGAAATAAGACAAAACTGACTCACAAGTGACTTTTCTTCTCAGCAGCATATTGGAGCTCACAAATCCTGAATATTGATGACACGATAACATAATTTTCCTTCTCGTATGGGAATAATGTCTTGTTATAAGTGGAAAAATATCTGCCAGAAGGTTTAGCACTTTTTCATCAATTTTACAGAACTGTTGACTTAAAACAGGCTCCTCCATTTTGCTGAGAAGACGATTTTGTTTTATTTGGAGTGAGCTAAGAAACTAGATGAAAATACTTGGTAAGATTTTGTGCTTTTGCAGGATAAAAAAGCAACATTTCGTACAGACCATATTGTTTCTTTGCCTTCTTACTTCTTATTATTAGGAGTAGAAGAATTTGCAGGGGGACATATTTAACCACAATCCTGCCCGCACTCATCTGTAGACATGTTTTCCAAATAAAAACAGATTTGACCAGATGATGCGCATTCCTGAAGTGTTTTCTTTTTCATCTTTGCTGAAACCAACAAGCATCCGTTTCTCTGCACCACTTCCTGAAAAGATTTGGGCTTTTTGAGCGGGTGGTTTGCCGCTTGCCATTCCCACCTCTATGTGACAGACGGCATGAAATCTGAACCTGTTTGTCTGTCTCAAGTTCAGTCAAACTGAGTGAAAAACAGTGCAGCTAAAACAGATTGTGCTTATGTTGAATGCACCAATGTGCAAGCAGGAGCAGAGATGATTCTTGACGGCGCTTTTCAGGTCTAACTCGGCGAAAGAGACAGGATGATGAGTGACTGGAAGGACGACCAGGATGTGATTGTTTTATTTTTGTTTTTACCAGAGTTCAAACCTCTGTCTCACATTTTTTGCCACCTCTTCCAGGTTTCCTCGCAGCATTAGCCAGTGTTTAGCTCCAGTCACTCCCGCTGGCTGGTTTTCTGTCCCAGGTGGAAAAATAGCCAAAACACGGTGCAAACACAGTGATGTTATTACTTTGGTACAAACATGTTAAGATTCATGTGCAGTGTTCACTTTAAGCTTCTGACAGATAGAGGTGATCCAAATATTGGTAATATTTGGATCACCTCTATCTGAGTCTGTATCAGTATCAATAATAAGGTGGTGAAATTGATACTTTAGTTTCACATTTCCTCTTGAAATTGTATTTTATTTTTGCATTATTGCTTCTCAAGTCGACCTAAAATAGATTCTTTCTTTGCTTTGCTCTCACATGACAATTTCTGTCATTGTTTTGTCTTTCTATTTTTTCTCTTCATCATGTCTATATGTTATTGCAGTATTTTGTAGGCACTTATAAACCTAAATTATGTCCTAAGTTTGAACAAAATAATTCAAAGGAAAAACAAACAAACAAAAACTGAAAGGTCAATTTGTCAAACTAAAGTAAAAAGTATCAATATCAGTATCGGCATTGGCGATACCACTGAAATCACAACAATTGGTTGTGGCAAAAAACTATTGAGGGATATTAAGGTAGCTGAATATATGTGTGTTAATTTAGTGTTTCAATATTTGTAATTTATTGCAACATTACTATTCACTTCAAGCACATTCACATCGAAAGATGGCCTCATGTTTAATTTCATCCTTTTTTCCGTCGCTCTTCGCTGCGGAGATGATTGTGTCCTTCCTCCTACTGTATCTGTTAGCAAAGGGAAGCAGTAAAGCACAGGTTTGCTACGGTTCCTGGCGAGGGTCATGGACCAGAATAGAGGTTTTAAAAGTCCACCGCTCCGTCCTTTGATGACCTCAGCAATAAACTCCATGATGAGACCCCCTGCTGCTAGGAAACAATAACTTACAGACCTTGAGCTGACCGAGGAAACACGGCGACAGCCGAAGCCAACACCGGACGATAACACACACAGTTTCCAGGATGCAAATCAGTTTTGTCATAAAACATGCTTCAGTGCAGAAGATTTGATCTACTTAGCACGTGCTTACACTTTGCCTCCAAGAAGTTTGATATTTCTGAGATCTGGCTTCATCTTTGGAGATTGACTGCTGTTTTTCTGGGAGTTTTTTTTATTTTTATTTTGTCTTGCTCTTGTTTTGTGGCAATGTGTTCTGTAAAACTGAGGTGAGACGAAACATGAGCAAGCGAAGTAGCTTAAAGGGAGGGATTTGTTTGTCCCACACTGTAAAAAAAAAAAAAAAAGCCATCATGGAAAGCCATCTGATTGTTTGGAAGCAGATTTGTTTCCTGTGAGAAAAACACAGTGGAAGCTTGTTTACTCATTAAAGAAAGGAAGTGTGGATCTTCTGTCTTAGATGACTCAAAAGATAATGGAGCCCTGAGCCCAGGGAGACAATGGGAAGAGGGGCTTTTGTAAAGGAATATTTTAGCAATCGAGTAATCTATTGATTATACTTGCAATTTATTGGGTAATCTGATAAAAAAAGATAAAATAAATCATTGGTAAATCTAACATAACTGCAGTATTGCTATTGTATTTCAATATCAGTCCAATTTTTCACGTTTGAGCTTCCCTAAGAATTACTTCTCTGTAGTCTAGAAAATGAACGTATAACAATAGCAGCTCACTTTCTAAATTAACCTGAAGAAAAGTTATACAAAAATCTGAAACTATAATAATAAATAGGCAGGCTCACAAATAGCCCTCATAAAAACAAATCATGACCCCAGCGCTTTATGGTGGCTTGATGGAACGTTTATCGGATGTTTGGTTTGCCAATCGTCACTAAACTGCCGTTCAGATCGCTCGACTTTCTGATTCAACCAGAACCCGGCTGCTGACGCCTGTTTCTGCCTGAGGTGCCGATGCGGATCGAGGCCCTTTGTTTGTAGGATCCGATCCGTCTCGGCAGATTCACCTCTTGATTTATGAGAGTACACAAGGATCAAGAGACTTTTGGTTGAAAGTGATTTTCTTATCCTTTATACCAAAGGATAGCCAAGTTGAAATGGAAAAGTGATGCAGCAGTAGGATTACCGCTTGCCTACTGTTTTGTTTTATTATTGATGTCTCTCAGAAAGCAAAAATATACTGTTGGCATTGTGAATGGAAAAAACAGGGGTGTGTGGATTAAAAAAGGAAACTTTTATGAGTTCTAAGATGAGGTACATATATTTTCCACCTTGCAGCCGCTCAAATACTTGCCCAGATTCTCCAGACATGACGCCAAATTGTTCTTCTCGGCGATGCTACGGGTTGGGTATTTGAGCGACGTCCATCATTCTTCACAGCAATTCTCTGTTTCTGCGCCGCTGTGAATGGAGCGGATCACTGTTTGACCTCATCTGACGTTTGCTTCATTCTCCGTTTTACTGCAGTCAATCATTGTTTGTGGAAGGTTTTCGCTTAACGTGCTGCATTCGAGGGACTTTTCTTGTATGGAAAAAAGTTTTACAGGGTCTCAAGGCGAGAACCACCAAGTCTAACGTGTGAAACGAGATCTTGAGGTATTCTGAGGAAAGCTGGGAGGAGAGTCAATGTGAGAAAATTGTTTTGAAAAACCAAGCGTCAGCGTAATATGTGGGTGGTGAAGCATTTGTTTCCTTCCCAGTCTGAAAAATGCTTTTCGAATCAGATAAGGATGCAATGAATCTAATGCAATTATCTGGATTAAGTCATATTTCTGCTTCATGATAAATAATCCATTTTAGAGAGGTGGAGGACATTTTCACGAGCAAGAATTTGACCAACGGGAATATTTGACTGGATAACAGTCTCACGAAGCGTCCAATTTGGATTAGAAATAATGAAATTCACTTTCTCCGTTGTCTTGTAAAGTCTTCAATGATGGAGTTCGTAGAAATTTATTAAGACACTGGAAAGCAAGCCAAGATTTTTTTTTTTTACTTTATTAAAGATCAAGTCAATAAATAAAAGTATTGGAAATCACCAGGTATGGAGTTCTTTGCATATTTATGATGACATGCTTTGGTCAATATTTCTTTGAGAGGATTTTAGATGTTGAAATTATTCCAGTTAAGAAAAAAAACAAACACTGATAGCCTTCAGAAAGGCATCCCAGCTAGTGATTTGTGGTGCAAAATAACAGAGACTCCTCCCTGAAACTTTCAGCAGGAGTGGAAAAACTTCAGGGTGGCACACTATGAAATGTTTAAAACAACATATGAGAGAAAGCATAACAAAAACTAAGAGGAAGAAAACCGTGTTGGAGAGATAATCCTTCGAGACTTTCGAGATTTAAACATCAACAAGAAGGTTTATTTTACCGTAACCCAGTATGTGTTTTGGTTTGGTTGCTATTTTGGGGATTTTCGTCTTTACAAACTACAGTAATATAAAGTCTAGGATGTAAAACCCAATTATCTTTTGTCCCGGGCTTTAACTAGGCTAATTTCTTGGCGGAAAGTTGACTAGCATCTCCTCATTTGATCACCTTCACAGGCAGGAAAAGACGTTAGCTTGGTGTTAGCGTGCGAGAACTGCGAGAAACTACAACTTTAGGTGTGAACTGTTTAGTTTTAGAAGGAAAAGATGAATATTTGCGAGGGAGTGTTAAAAGGTTATGCTTACTTAACCATTTATTTATTGGTCATACAATCTTCCACCGATATGTGTTGCTTCGGTAAGTCGAAACAAACAAATGCGTCCAGAAGCGAGAATGTTTTTAATGTTAGCAGCCAAAATTCTGGACTTTAATGGGCTAAAGCGACAGCTTGCTTCTCCACACAAAACGCTAACGCCGTTATTGAGGTGTTCATGCCTGTTCAAAACCTATCCTCGTTGAGTTTTTGGAGGGTTTTGTTGTCACCGTTTTCTGAAAAAACAATGGACTCCCTATCTGGACTTCCTATTCACACTATTTTCAATGGAAAGGTTTCGTAACACCAGATACTGGCACAATGCAAGCGCTCAGATTGGCTTGAAATTGTGTTATTCCAACACAAACAACAGATGGATTTCTGTGGCTGTGCAGCGACTGCATAAAACAAACAGTGAAACCTCCAGTATTATGACTGTGAAAACAGGCAACAAAGTCATTAGTGTTCATTACATTGATGTGTATTTCAGCATAAATCTCTTCTTTTAAGATGTGAGCACAAAGCCATTACAGACAGATTTACATATATTACTTCTATTTACAGATATTCAAGAGCCTTTTATTTACAAAAATACATTAGGCGACACTTCCAGAACAAATACTTACATGCACACACACACACCCCCCCACACACACACACATAAAGTAATGTATATACAACTTTGATTAATTACACATTTGTTGGACTCCGTGGTTGTGGTCTGACGGCCGTTAGAATGCCGTAAATCATATTAAAGTGCAGGAAATTCTTTTTGTCTTGTGCGCAAACAAAGCCAAAAACACAGAACCCCCAACAGCGCAGGATGTCAGAAAAAAAAAAAAAACTCGGGAAGTGAGCTGACGTGTTTTGTGAGGAATGTGTGAGCTTCTCCTTGACATTCTGTGAAAGTCATGGGAACGGTGCGCAAAGGGTGGGTCGCCATCCGAGAGCGGTCCGTGTCCCCCGCCGGCTCCGGGTGTTTCTGCCATTATTTGAGAGAGGAGAGTATAATGTTCAAATCTTTTTCTTTTCCTGTTAATGCTTTCATGTTCGGTCAAAGGGTTGGCTTTAGTCACATTTTTACATAAACCGCTGAAAGACAGAGACAGAGAGAGAGAGAAAAGGCGAAAACAAAATGGAAATTCAAACACAAAGGATGCTGTGGCTTCCTCGGTTACTTAGAGACCAGAGGGCTGTTTTTACCCATGAACACCTTGAGGCCACAGTGACTTTTAATCTCTATGAACACTCAGAAAGGGAAGAGACGCAGTGACACATCGAGAATAGCTGAATGATTTTGCGGGAGGGGAGACTAAGAATAGGGCAGCACATTACTGTAAAAATTGTCTCCGTTTGGACACAAGCATAAAAAAACCTGTATGCTCAGCCCTTAGGTCGAATGTTTTTAATATTTCCAATCGGCCACTTGAATGTCAGGATGTAATTTTACAAGATGGCTGCCATCTGAGTCTTTTAAATCAACTACTGCCATAAAATGTTACCCATTTTCATGACTTCAATAAACTTTGTGTCACATTTTGGACTTTGGTCATACAGCTTTAAAGTAACAACATGTGGCAAGTTTATAGCGCCACATTGTATTCAACTGTGATCAACCGCAGTCACCGCTGTGTTCTTGGTAGTTTTAGTGCAAAAAGAAATTTTCTTTGAGCGCCATGTCGACCATCTTGAACTTTTCAGTGGCTAACATTTTCTCCTTTTTCAATGCATCAAGCTCCCTCGGGAATATCTGTGCCCCAGCTAGGTTCTTGTGACAGCATGCGAAAGATTTAGCTGAAATATTCAATTATCTGCTGCATCAGAATGTTTACAGGTGGGATGAAGTGGTGTTGCAAAAACTACATCCCCTCCTTTCGCAATGCACTTATGATGTATACATATTAGAATGTTTATAAACCAGATTTAGTATGCACATGGGACTGAGCAAAAAGCTCATATATATATTTATATTCTTATTAACATTGTTCATCTCCTTTTTCACCATACAGAAGGCTTTCTTGTCCCTTAGGATTTCTCAGTCTTTGAGCTGAGTTTCTTGGTGCGGCCGGCTGTTTCACTCCATCTGTGCTGACGTTTTCGGGGAGTTGTCCAGCTCCCTCCAGTTGCCGGTGCTGCCTGTCGGGCTCCGATTGGTGATCCTGGTCAGCAGCGTGGTCCTGCGGACGCTGCTGTCCGAGTCCTCCTTGTAGTCGCTGCTCAGCTTGCAGCAGCAGGAGAAGCAGTGCACGAAATCCTGCAGGAGGTGGCCGCTGAAGATCATGTAGATCCATGGGTTGCAGCAGCTGTTGAGACTGGCGAGGAGCGCAGACAGAGTCACCGCTGTGTTCTCAGAATCTGCAGGACAGACAGCGAGGGCAGGAGGGGAGGAGTGATTAATCCACGAAACATCTGGGATATGCAGAAGTCTCCCTGTAAGTGAAGTTCATCTGGTGCCACATGGTGGGAGGTGTTGTAGAAATAACAGGCTGCAACATGCATTGTGATACATTACATTTTATTTTTCACTCTGCATTTACGGGCTCCTAACCCTGTAAATGGCAATGATACAGTTAAATGTATTTATTTTTTCTTTAGAATTAAAGTCCTTTAAAAAAAAAAATTAACACTAAATTTTATGGTACTTAGGGAATCAACTTCAACTTGTATAGAAATATCCTTTATTGACTCAATGGGGAAATTCAGGTGTATCAACTGTTTATTCACACAAGGATTGAAAATGTTTTAAAAGAAAGAATGAGAGACTACAAAGCAAGAGAAAAATGACAAATTTATACTCTTATAAAAATAAATGTTCTTCTGAGTGGAGAAATTAACCACATCAGCTGATTTTTGGTGTAAATGTAGTTTGAATTCATTAACTCAGACTATCAGGTTATACCTTCTAATGTAAATTCTTTTCCTTTTACTAATTTGAAGTTACATCACTAGAACATTACCTGAATAAAACTACTTAAATTTTGTTCTGATTTTTTCAGACCTAGATGATCATTACCTCCCTTCCCCCATCTGGCCTTCCAGACAAATCTTCAAATTCTTAGAATTTGACGCATCACATGCACTCATGCTGGTTGGGCACCGAACCGGCTTCAGCCCAGAGCCCCCACTACGTCTTAGATTCGGCCCTGTAAACCTAATCCCACGAATTTAAAACTTAACAAAAAAGTATTTAAAAAAACAATGACTCGGATCTAACACTTATATGTGAAATAATAATGATTAGTATCATTATTATGTGTTAAACTCATTTGGTCATTTCAATACAATCAATCAATAAATAACTGAAGCATAAAATAATTATTCAAACTTGGATTTTATTATGTATTATAGCCATATAATTGTGATTCCTTTTCTTTTTCTTTTTTTTTTTTTTTTGGACCGACCAGCTTGACTCAAAAATCATGACAAGCTGCAACCAATTTATCATTAAATTATTTTTCTTAAAGATTACACTGATTTAATACACTATGCCTTTGAGATACTGATTTTAATTAGTTATATTCACATTTAATCATTAAATTGTGCATTTTACGAGTAACTTTACGATTGAACTAATTTAGAACATCTATTAATTATAATTATTAAATTATTATTTAAAAAAAAATACACTAAGTTGTGGGCCTGAATGGTATTGTTGAAAGATTCATCACACTCCGATGAATCATCTTTAACAATGTACGCGCATTCGTTTTGTCGCACTTTTTTCTTTTCTTTTCTTTTTTTCTTTTTGCGCCGTTTTCCTGAGTATTTCGGCGCGTAAAACGCTGCGCGCGATCGGACTTTTCCGAGCGCAGTCCGGAACAGAAATTCCTCCCCGCCGAGTTTTTGACTCACCGTCCCACTGGAAGCTTCGGTCCCACACCGACCACATCTGCACCGTGAAAAACGGCGCCCAGCAGACGATGTACGCCACCACGATCACAAACGTCATCTTGACCGTCCTGAGCTTCGCCCTGGAGATCACCATGATGCTGCTGACCGACGACTTCCCGATCATGCCGCTCTTGCCCGCCGCCCCGGCCGCCGTCTTCTTCTTCTTGTACTTGATGTTCCTCCAGATGGTGCGGCAGATGAAGCCGTAGCACAGGATGAGGATGACCACCGGCACCAGGAAGATGCCCACGGTCATCCAGGTGACGTACGCCTTGGAGCCCCACGGCTCCACGAAGTGCGCCCAGCAGTCGTACACCTCGGAACCGTTCTTGATCTCGCTCAGGGAGAAGATGAAGTACTGCGGGACGCTCAGCACCAGGCTGCACATCCACGTGGAGACGATCATCACGTAGGAGCGCTTGGTGGGCTGCTGGAGGGTCTTCAGCGGGTGGCAGATGGCGATGTAGCGGTCCAGGGTCATCATCACCATCATGTAGGTGGAGGCGAACATGCCCATCACCTGGAGGTGCTTCACCACGCGGCAGAGGAAGTCCGAGCCGTAGAAGCGGAAGGTGATCTCCCAGCAGAGCTGCGGCAGCACCTGGAAGAAGGCGACCACCAGGTCGGCCAGGCTCAGGTGCTTGATGAACAAATGCATGCGGGACGTCTTCTTCTTGGTGTTGTACATGGCCAGCAGCACGCTCACGTTCCCGACCACGGCCACGACGAAGGTGATGCTTAGGACCATGATCTCGATCTGGGCCACGTCCTCGTTGCGCGCGAACGGGTCGGATCCGTTCGCGTGGGGGGTGCCGTTCGAAGGGGTTCCCATCGTCGGGTCTCCGGCGAGGCTGAGAGCGAGCAGGGACTGGTTGCCTCCGCTCAGGAGAGGCGCGTCGGATGGAGTGCGCATGGTGGCACTGCCCCTCCGTGCGCCCTCTGCAGACCCGTTACCGGAGGGGCCGCGAGGCGCCTCTCTGGTCCGTATATGGAGCTACCTGTTGCTCACACGGGGTTGAGGGGGCGGAACGCGGCGCTGTGTGGCTGCTGGCCGCCGCAGTGGCTTTTTAAAGTCGAGTCAGATTTCAGTGCGTAAAAAAAACGCATGCGCTTAAAACAACAACAAACACATCCTCTCCAAGGAGGGAGAAGTCAGCCCTCCTTAAACTGGTGATTACATAAACAACAATAATTTGAACTGAAGTGAGATTCATCATGAACGATTAAAATAGATGAATTTAATTGGAATGGCTTCACTTGGATCTTCCAGCTGCTTTTACGCAATTTGCGCAGCAGCAGCAGATAATTCCATCTGGAGAACTGCTGTGAAATTACTAATTTCAAATATAAGTGTTATTTTAAAAGCTCAAACCTCACACGAAAGCACATTATGTACATATTAGAAATCAATCAATAAATAAACAAATAAATAACCTGTTCCCCAGGATTCACCCACTGAAGATTTTTGACTCTTGAACTTTTTCCACATTTTCTGACGTTACAACTGTGTGTTTTATGGATTTATTTCTTCTTGTGTAACCAGGAAGTAAAACGACAGTGACGTCCACAGGCACCACAGCATGACGCTGCCTCCTCTGTGGCTCATTGAGTTGACATGTTCTGCTATTATTCTGCCACAAATATTTTTTTCTGCATTTCACCCAAAAGCTCCCCAATGCATGGAGGTTTGTGTGTCGCCCTTTTGCATTTTCACCAAATATGCAACGCAATAGGTTTTTGAGTTGGGCAGTTACCCAGGGGGTCATCGGAAAAGACTCAGGGAGCCCAAGACTTAGAAAATATAAAACATGTCCCACACGGACCAGTGGACAAATTGATCTTCTCTTATGGTTGCTAGTATTTTACATGAGCAGAGCTCGTCCACATCCACATTAAGAGACGCGTCTCATCCTTTGCACCAGAGGAGTTCAGGCTCCTCCCATCTGAAAGGTGATTATTTGTGATCCTCAGATGCAAAACCAAGAGATATCAGAGCAGGTTTCCTTTTTTTCGTCATAAGCTTCCAAAGTTTGATTTAGAGTAGTCTCAAGCAAGGCTCGGTGCAAACCTCAGACTGTTTACCCCGAGTGAGCTGAAACGTGAAGCAGAACTGAGCCCTCAGTCTGCAAGCAGTTAGTTTTAACGATGTTCAAATGAGCTGACTTGTTTCTTTGTTTGTAAATGTCTGCAACGCTGCAGCACATTTAATTCCCCCCTAATGATGCTCAGCTTAGAGTTCGAGTTGTCGGCCACCGGTTTTGTTTGTGGTTGAAAATGTTACAACTAATCCAGGAGAAGAAAGAAAATAGGCACCTTGTGGGTGTAATTTCATAAGTTAATGAAGTACATTTTTTGATAACATGTTGAAGTGGTTTTGTTTTGATATTTGGACAAGTCCAAAACATATACCAGAAAGCTTAATGCATCACAATTGATACGCGCAATATGACCGTATGTTCAATAAAACATTCAATGATATTCTAAGTTTGACAACTCTATAAAAATTAATTTCTTTTAGTAACAGTTTCTTACATTTAATTTGGTACAATAGTAATTTTTTTTATGTTTTTTGAGCAAAGTTACCACTTCCCACCCACAATACTCAACGCAGGACAAATTGAACATTTTTAAAGAGATAGCAACATGATGTAAGCAAATTAAAGACAACAAACTCATGCTGTCTAAAGTGTCTTTTACTCACAATTGGATTTTTGAACAGCAAACTCAATTACGATATTATTATATTACTATATTCATAACTATATTGGTTAATATAGTTATGTTCTATTGAAATATCTCTTTAAGTCCAAAACGGTTTCGATGGCATGATAAATTCAGTTTTCAAGGTTTTTACGTAATAGACTTTTTTAGAGAGGAATAATGTTGTAACAGCAGTATTTTATGATGTCTGCCATTATCAAAAATCCACACATAAAACTTAGCTAGGCTAAGAGGGAGATTTTATAGGAGCTTGATTCCAATAAAAGCTAAAAGACAGACTTCACTGGAAAAACAAAAAACAAAGTGAAGTGACGGCGGAGGCAACAAATTCAAAAGCGATGAGAATTCATTCGAAGCGACGCCTCCGTCCCGCTTCACTCCCGGAGAAATGTTCCTGTTTTTTGTCCTCGTCAAAAGCAATGAAACTGAATTTCCGTCCATGCCTGCGCCATCGTCTTGTTTGACCCGTGAAGGAGGAGATGAGCAGAATTTGGTTTATGGCGTTCCTGACATCCGCTTAAATTCCCCTATTTCTGCTGATGAAACACAGACCTCGTAGCAGAGCTGCTTCAACAATCAGATTATTTGTCAAATCAGTCAATCGAATTGTGACACTGATGTTGTTACGCACTGAAAATAAAGGACTTTGATTTACGATACTGGAGTGTAGTTTTGTGTTTAGTTTCTTTCTTTTTCATTCTTTGTGCATGTGTTTTAGTTTATTAGTGTTGGTCCTTTTCCCCTTTAGTTGTTGTACACTTCTCCATCTTCCCTCATGTTTCTTAACCTCCTCCCGTCAACCAGCCAGTTTGCTCCCAGCTCTTCAGCCATTTTCCACTGAATTCTTCTGTCGCCTCATGATAATTTCTTCATTTCTCATGGAAACCAGGTGATGCAAACCCGGTTATCCCCGGTAACATTAACTGTTTATCATTCTAGTCATACAATAAACGATGCTTACTTGTGGGGCCCTGAGCAGCTGCTCTGTTTGCTTATGCCTTGGGCCGGCCCCATCACAATGTAATACGTTGACTTAAAAATCAACTGGAACTAGTAAAACTACACTAAAACTAATATTTAACTAATAACTAATAATAAATGATCAAAACTAATGAAAACAAACTGAATTAGACCAAATAAAAAAGTCACAACAAAAGAAAACTAGACTATAGTCACAACCAAAAAAATCTTATTTTTTAATAAGAATATTAAAAAAGAATATTTTTAATATTCAGCAGTCAGCAGATCAGCAGTCTTGACATCAAGACTGTCAAGCAGACATAGGAGGAATCAACGTCAGGCTTGTGGCATTAAATAAATAAGTAAAAACTGTTTCTGGAAATTTGCAAAGTAGCCAACAATTCTTATGTGGTACAGTTAGTTTCAGAAAAAAAGTGCAAAATGGTGAAAATCACTCTTATTAGAAAACATTGCTATATATCAACAGTCCACGTTGCCAGTAATGCATCTGGTGGAGAGATAAGAGCAGAAAGTGTCAAAGTTAAGGGAGAACACATAACTTGTGTGTATTCCTCAGTGAAGACACCAAACAAGCTCAAGAGACCAAAACACCACCATCACTGTATCCTATCGCAATGCCTGCACGTTTCTTGTCCACGGTTCTGTTACTGCACAATAACCAAATGTCACAGTTTCCATCCCTAAAGCAAACCACTGCCACCCGGCTGCTGCTTACAGAAACGTCCCGTTTTACACCTACTAAAAGGGTGTAATTAAAGCTCTTGTGGGTCTTTTAATGGAATTTAATTTATTTGATTAGGACAGTGCACGTGTTAATCAAATTTACCTCAATTCACGGCAGTGTAAAACACGCAGGAGTTAGCACGACCGCTAAATATTTGTTCCGAGAGAAGTTGGAGCAAAAATCTGTTCTTAGGCCGGCTGCAGGCTTTTATTCGCCTTTTACATTTTTCCAGACTCCAGTTTGGAAAATGGAATAAAGTCCATTCCGCCATCTAAATGCTCTGCGTAAAGCTGCCTTCTGCATGTTCCCCACTGACAACTTTTACAAAATGTTTCTGATTATTTTCCACCAAATCTCTATGACCACAGCGCATTTAATAGCAAACAATCATCAAATCTATCCAGACTGCAGCACATATAGACCCGAAAACATTGTCCTCCAGGTAAGGGATGGTTACTGTTTACTTCAGGACAAATTGTGACAAACCCACTGAATTGATTTACAATTCATATCAATTGAATAAGTGTGCGCCAGACGTTCAAACCCCTGCAAACCGGTGGTTTGAGCCCCAGTTTGCCGTGAGACACTGGTACTAATTAAGGTCAGACATATTTTCTTCCTTTTAGATCTATTAATAAATCTTTCCAGACTAGATTAGCATATCTAAAAACAAACCACCAGTGACTTGCTTTTACAATTTCACGTGTTTCACGTTATCGCATGCTAAAACATGAGCAAATCCCACTGAAATGAATCACTTTGCAGTAGAAACGAGGCGCTGAGGGCACCGACAAACATGTCTGTGTTTCTGCCCCTGACTAAACAGAGCGGCAGAATGCTCAGTAGAGCGGCGCTCTCTCTCACGGTACACTCTATGTCATGTTTATCTAACAAACTTTAATTCATCTGAAGAATCTCCACTCTGGACAGGGTTGGCCTTCTGCACTGCCTGGCTAATGTCTTCGGCGATGCACGGATTACAAAACACCAACAGGTGCGACTGGACTTTCTGGATTTACATCCCGACTCTGACGCAAGTGCAGAGAAAGGGGTGGAAGAAAAAAAAAAATACAAAAACGGACACTTTAAAGTCAGGGGTGTACACTTCTTCTGATTTACAAAGTTCTGTAAAATCGTTTTCTCTGTCCTGCAACCGAGGGCCTTGTGTCAAACATGTGAGAAAGACTGAAGCAATCCGATCATAAACCTAGTCAATAAAGAAATTATTCAACGGATTCGATCAGTCGTTAGAGCAATGTGTTGCGTCAACTTGTGGCAAATGTGTGATGACGAACCCAGTTCAGAGTTCCTTCTCACCAGGTAACTGAAACGCAGCACAAATATTTTTTTGTGTGTGTGTTATCAGGACAGTGTGGAGTAAAAAAGGAAAAAAAAAAAAGATGTTTTTACTTTTGGTTGGAAAAAAATGTCCAGTGCCCTGGATCTCAAGCTCCGGTTGTCAAAAACTGACAACAACAGAGAAATTATGACTTAGCAATGGGAACATTTTATTCGTTCTTATCACGTTATTATGAATAGCAATGTTGTTGCTTTGATATGAAACCAGCCCTTCAGAGTATAAGTCCAAAGACGGGCACTTCTTCTTCTTCTTCTTCTTCTC